GGGTTTCATTGCCTCCATGGCTACCAAGCCAAGTTCTGTGACTATCTCTCCTACCACCATCTCTGGCTTACAGAAGAGAGAGATGTCATTGAGTTTTGTTTTGTTTTGTTTTGTTTTATTGTCATTTTTTACCAGGGATTGAACCCAGGGTTGCTTAACCACTGAGTCACGTCCCCGGCCATTTTTATTTTTTATTTCAAGACAGGGTCTTGCTAAGTTGCTTAGGGCTTTGCTAAGTTGCTGAAGCTGGCTTTAAATTTTTGATCCTCCTGCCTCAGGTTCCCAATCTGCTGGGATTACGGGTATGTGCCACTGCACTCAGCTTCCTTGAACTCTTAAATGACACTGGTGTCCTTCTCACGTACTCCTAATAAATTAGATGTCTCTCTCTTTGTCCTTGCCCATGGACTATAATCTTCTGACATGTCTACTGCTTAATGTGATGTGTCCATTTTAGCATATCCACTTCCTTGAATATTTTAATCCTTTCTCCACCATTTGCCAAAGCAATCCAGGCATTTCAACTTTGCTTGGCTTGGACCATCACTTTCTTCAGGGTCTAGAAGCCTCCTGAGTGGCAAGTTTGCACCATTCCCTGGATCATTGACAGAGGGTTGAATCCCAATCTTATGTTCTGGATCCCCTAGTCTAGCACCCTGAAAATACACTCTGCTGCATTTACACTTTGCTTAATTCCTGCTACTTCTTGAGGTATATTCTCTGTCCTCCCAGATAAGACCCTGATTGGGTCATGGTACAATTTAACTGTAGTTATCAGTCTGGCATCCAAGAGAGGAAGTGGAGTTGGACTGATTCTCGAAAGGGGTCCCTGTGGGGAGCCTGGTGGGGGAGAATATTCTCCTGTATCTCCTGATGGAGGTGGATGGTTGCTATCTCTTGTTATGGAGTGGTAGACTGCCTCTGCGCATTCTGATAGTACAGAGATGTCTAAGGAACCAAAACACAGAGGTACCCCCATCCTGTGTATCCCCGTGTGATGTGTCAGGTCCCAGGTTTTTGTTTTGTTTTTATATTTGTTTTTGTAATCCTAAGGATCAACCCCAGGAGGTTCACACATGCTGGGCAGGTACTCTACCCAGTCCTGAACTACATCCTCCATCCTCACATTTTCCAAAGCAGTGCCTTAACCTTGACATTACAGACCTGACTCACCTTGAAGCATCACACTATTTTTATGTGGTGCTGAGGGTCAAACCCAGTGTCTCATGCATTCTAAGCAGGCACTCTACCAAGAAGCTACAGCCCCAGCCCGAAGCATCAAACTATTAATTCCTGACTTGGGTATTAAGCTTCTTCCCTCTGCAGGAGATAAGGGCTTATTTATAAGCCACCCAAAAGCCCCTTCACACCCAGCTTTTGTTTTTAAAAGTCCTTGGCTTTCATTCCCTCTCTATAGGGTCAAGGTAACCCATAGAGCTAATCCCGTTGTCCCTGTGTGCATCATTCCTGTACATTTCAAACACCTGAATCATTGTGTAGCCAAGGTGTTGCCTCCACTGAAGCCTTCTTTCAAGTCATACCAATGAAAGTTTTAGCAAAGGGGCCACCACCTTGAGCAGGGACATCTGGTGTCCCCACATATCCTGGGGAGGGGTCCACCGGTTTGTGCCACTTCATAGGGCAGCCCTAGCAAATGAACACACCAATGAACAACCAGCACCACAAAAAAAAAAAAGAACTCCTGAATCCTGCATTCTTACTCTGGGCCAGACCAGGTGACTTTTGAAGGGAGAGCTGAGAAAAACCCCAAACCCACTCCAAAGTTCACATTCTTCACCTTTCACAAGGGACTCCATGAACAAAAGAGGACGAGTCGAGTCCCCTTGTCTTTCCTTTGGAAGTCCCACGGCCAGCACCCACCCCAGTTCTGGCACTCAGAGGTGTGGACTCAAAGACTGAAGTGGTGGGACTTAGGGCAACCCTCCTGGACAAGAAAGCAAGGTTGCAAGGGACCTGACTCCCACCTAGGCCACAGTAGCCTACCTGTCCCCATCACTTAGGGGACAGGAAAGGAGCCACTCTCATTTCCCCTATGAGGCTGATCTCAGGTTCCTGTGAAGTTTGGGGCCTTCACTGAAGGGAGAAGCTGCAGAGGGTACCCCCATTCCAGGTCCCACAGCTGTAGGGAAGACCCAAGTGCATCCTCTGCCAGCCCTACACACGTACACTTTTCCAGGAAGAGAATATGGGGTTTTCATCAGATTTTTGAAGGCGTCTCTGGCCACCCCTCCAAACATAGGGACATCTGGCTTATTCTGAATCTTCCTCTCAATTCAATCTCTTAGATCCGCACTGGACTCACTGACTTCCTCTCCTCTCTACAGCCCAGGAGGCCTGCTCCAAGTGACACTAAAAAAAGATTCTCGTTCCCCTTTCCCACAGGCTTGCTTTGTGTCTCTGGAACTCTACACAAAGCTTCAAGCCACTGAGGTGCTGACAGAAGGGCCAGGTAGCTGGAATGGACAGCTCTGCTGCTCCAGACTGGATGCCTGAGGAAGCCTGGAGGAGCACTTTTAAGAAGAGAGAAAAAGGGCTAGTGACATAGCTCAGTTGGTAGGGTGTTTGCCTCCCGTGTAGAAAGTCCTGGGTTTAATCCCCAGCACCACAAAAACAAACAAACAAACAAACAAAAAACCTTCTGAATCCTGTATTTGCCAAGCTCATTTTTCTGGTCTCAAGAAACATTGAGAGAAAGATCTGGCAACGGCATGAGAGATGGCTGGGTGTCCTATCCAGAGTTTTCCTTCAGCTTATCTTCATATTTTATTATCCTGGAGATATTTCATGACTCTCTAAGGGTGGAAAATTGATAACAATGCAAATTATTCCTTTCCATAGAAATGCAAGTGAATTGCCAGGCGTGGTGGCACATGCCTATAATCTCAGTGACTCTGAAGGCTGAGGCAGGAGGACGGCAAGTCCTAGGCCAGTCTGGGCAATTTAGCCAGACTCCATCTCAAAATTTTAAAAAATATAGAAATAGCTAGGGAAGAGAGGAAAAGGGCTAGAGATATGGCTCACTTGGTAGAATGTTTGTCTCTCATGTAGAAAGCTCAGTGGTAAACCACCTGTGCAAGGTTCTGGGTTCCACCAAAAATAACATAAAAAGCAAGTATATTGTACCCAATGGAATACACCTGCTTCTTTCTCTAAAAGTAGACCAGTTTTATAAATATTTTAAAATTCATCAGCATTCTTACACCTATAGATGTGTGATTCTTTTAATTCTGCTTTGAACCAGTCACAACACCTTATTGGTTCCTTCACTAATTAATGAGTTAAATAACACATATTTGTTATACATTTGTAGGGGGCAGGGTGATTTCTGGCTCTGACCCAAACACCCTACTCATGACAAGGTTCCAGAGGAAGGACTTTTGTTACCTAGAACTAGCTTTTTAAGATCTCTTTCAGAATTCATAAAGAGACATTCTTTTCCTTTTTGTTCTCTTTTTTTAATTACTATTTCCTGTGTTCTTAATATTTATTCTTGTGTGTATTGTAGGAAGGCCACAAGCACAAATTTACCTGTGTCTCTTAGTGGAAAGGCATATGTGCTAGCCAAGGCCACATGGTAGACATTTATTGACACTGTCACCTCCTCTGTTTACTCTCTCTCCAAGGACACACTGTAACCCAGCAGGATGGGAAGGGGCAGGAGGTTCAGGCTCCTCAGTAGACACTTGGACTCTGATAACAGGAAAGGCTGTCGGAGGCCCCAGGACAGATAACCTCATGGTCATTGTGAGCCAGACAGTCTGGGAGCTGGGGAGAGTGGATGACATTGAAAAGGCCAAGGATCCATGGATGTCTAAAAGATGGTGCTGTTGGTCCTTGCTGGTCCCCTGCAGGTTCTCAGCTGGAGCTGAGCCCTCATGCAGGAAGGAAGTCACCCTGAAAACCGAAGTCCAGGATGGTTCCCTGGAGCGGTGGTCTCTTTGATCTCCCACCATTACTGGTTAAAAATGATCTGAGCATGCAGCTTCCATACAGTCATAAATCTTTCTAAAATTTTGAATTCTTTATCTCTATATTAAATCGTTTTAAAGGGTAATTACTTTTTTGTTATAAAAATGTATAAGGAGGGCTGGGCTCCGTGGCACATGCTCGTAATCCCAGCAGCTGGGGAGGTTGAGGCAGGAGGATCACAAGTTTGAGGCAAGTGACTTAGGGAGACTCTGTCTCAAGATAAAAAAAATAAAATAAAAAGGGCTGGGGATGTGGCTCAGTGGTAGAGTGCTTGGGTTCAATCCCCAGTACCAAAAAAAAAGAGAGAGTTTTTCCTGCAATCCAGAGCATCAGATTGCACCCTCACCACCACTCTGCCCTGCGGGGAGCACACAGTACAGCTCCTCGCAGCACTGGGGGGAGTGCACAGCAGGGCCTGACTGTCTCCACCTGTTTAAAATTGGATGAGAGCACCTATCACCATCACACCTTCCTTCGGGTTTTAGTTTCTGGAGGAAAATGCAAAACAACCTAATTACCTGCTGCAGGGTGTCATTTCCAGGAACCTGGAATGTTGCTGGGCTTCCTTTTTGTTTTCCTTCTCAGCAGACAAAGCCAGACCTACACAAAGACACCCCCACCCCCACCCCGGGGTAACACCTGGATGGTTTCATCTCACCACAGGGAAGCCCCACTAAATGACTGCCATCAGACCCTCTTTCAAGGGAACATCTGTTAAGGGGAGAGAATCCTGGAGGGAACAAGGGATGTAATCAGGGCTCCCAAATAAATGTTTGCCTCTCTTCTTGCCTCCAGCAGATACCCAAATTTTTGTAGTGACCTTATTGGTGAAAGGTACTAACTACTATCATGTAGTGAGGATTCAAAGCCCTTTATGTGTATTTTCTCATTTAGTTTTAAAAACAATCCAGGGGTAACATTTTATTATCCCATTTCACATAAGGGAAGCACAAGACTCAGATATTAAAAGACGTTGACCCAAGTCACCCGGCCACTAAGTGACAGAGCCTGCTCTGGTACTCAGGTCCACCACCCAGAGGCCACCTTTGCCCCAGATTCCAGTAGTCCTGCTACCTTCCACCCACCACTCGTATGTGGTCTTCTGTCAGTCTCCCTCCAGGACTCCCTCAGGGCTGGGGACCAGGTGTGTCACCAGCCAGATGCACAGAAATCCTGGGCCCAACAGAGCTCAGCACAGGAAACAGGCCTCGCTGAAGGACTGCACAGCTATTTTCCTAGCAGCCTCAGAGTTGGTACCTGGGAAGCCTCTAGACTCATCCAGATTTTCGGCTACCATTTCAAAAGTGAAGTCCACAAAGGTGAGAGCTCCACTGAGGGAGGGAGGCCCGTGGTTGGTTAACTAAAGAAGGCAGGAGCCTCTACCTTTGCTAGGAGTGTGGTCTTTGAAGTGAGTCAAGTCTGAATCCCAGTTCTACCACTTATCCACTGCGCCTTTTTGGCAAGGGGCTTTATCTCTCTGAGTCCGGGTGTCCTTTTCAGTAAGATAATACCTATCTCGTGCCTGCTCTGGAGTCTGTTCATTTATTCATTCTATAGATATCAGGTTGAGCCCCAAGAAATTGCCAAAATTCACCTACTTTTTACTGACAGCAATAGCAATTTCATAGGGTTCAACTCTAATATTCTTTGAGTACATTATTAGAGTTCTCTAGAGAAATGAAACCAATGGGAAGTGTGTGTGTGTGTGTGTGTGTGTGTGTAGAAATTTGCTTGTATGATTTTCAGGGTTGACAAGTGTGCAATCTGGAAGGTGGGCCTGCAGGCTGGAAATTCAGGTAAGTATTGGTATAGCTTTGACTATGATATCTACAGGGCAGAGTTTCTACGTTGCGTTCTTTTTTTTTTCAATTGTAGATGGACACAATACCTTTTTTTTTTTTTTAAATTGATTGATTTTTATGAGGGGCTGAGGATTGAACCCAGTCTCTCACATGTACCAGGCAAGTGCTCTACCACTGAGCCATAACCCCTGTCCCCTATGTTGCATTCTCAATGTAGAATTGCTTCCTCTTTGGACACCTTAGTCTTTGCCCTCGATTGATTGATTGGATGAGGCCCACCTCCACATTATGGAGGGTCATATGTTTTACTTAGTCAATTGATTATAAATTTTAATCCTGGGGCTGGGGTTGTGGGTCAGTGGTAGAGTGCTTCCCTAGCATACATGAGGCACTGGTTTTGATCCCCAGCACTACATAAAAAAAACTAAACAGCCAGGAGTGGTGGTGCACACCTGTAATCCCAGCAGCTCAGGAGGCTGAGATAGGAGGGTCGTGAGTTTAAAACCAGCCTCAGCAAAAAGTGAGGTGCTCAGCAACTCAGTGAGACCCTGTGTCTAATGAAATACAGAATAGGGCTGGGGATGTGGCTCAGTGGTTGAGTGACCCTGAGTTCAATCCCCAGCACCAAAAAATAAAAAAGAAAGAAAAACTAAGCCAAACAAAATAAATGGTAATCCTGCCCACAGATACCTTTACAGCAGAATCTAGACAAAGTGTTGGACCGAACAGTTGGGGAACACGGCCTAGCCAAGAGGACATGAAATTAGCACTGCAAGTTACAGGTGCTTGAGGTTACACAAGTGAGTGCAATTGTCAAAGGCACCTGGCCTGGTGGGACTTACTTCTAGTTGAGAGAGAAAGTTGTTTTATAAACATCATCCTCAGTAAGTAGCTGTATACCATGTTAAGACACGAAAAGCATCATGAGAAAGGGAAAAAAAAAAGGCTATGAGAAAGGAAATTCAGGGGGTGCAAGGAGAGTTCCCCGAAGAATGCAGGGTCCGAGGCTTGGCCTGAAGCAGGGGAGGGGGTCTGCCCTGCCAGAGCCTGCTGGACAGAGGGGACAGCTGATGTGCGGGTGCCAAGGCAGGGATGTGCCTGGTGGAACTGCAAGGAATCCAGGTGGCTGAGTGGAATGAGCGAGGGTGAGAGGGACAAGAGGTGACTCAGAGAGCTCCTGTAGGGCTTTCAGGCCAATGTCAGGTGAGGAAACAAGGGTTAAAGCCGAGACACATGCGAGTCAGGTGCCCAACATGGAGTCTGCCAGAAGGCAGAAGGGAGCATGGCTCCCTTAGTGCCCAGAGCCCTGGAGCAGGTCAGCCACTCTTTCTTCCTGCCTCTCCTGGATTCCAATGTCACCAGCTTCACACCTAACAGGAATTTTTTAGCCCAGGGACCAGGAGGACAGGCTGTCCTCAGCACCTGCTGTATACAGGAGAGAGGCAGGACCCACCAGGAGAAGAGCCCAGGACTGCCCTGGTGGGCCAGGCTGAGGTGGGGGTGGCCAGAGGCACGCAGGCCCTGCCCCCATGGGCACCTCAGCCAGGCCGCCTTGAGCCCATCCAGTTCTGTCCCAGGCTTTGTTCCTGAGTCTCCAAGGCCCCCCTTCCTGCCAAACAAAGCCCCCAGCCCCGCCTGCCGCCCAACAGGCACCTGGGGCCTCCCAGCCTGGGAATCAAAGCCTGTTTTGCAAAGGAGGCCCTGTGTTTGGAGAAACACCCATCCCCTGCTGCCCCGTCCTTCAAAGAACCGGCATTGTTCTGTGCTGAGAAGGCGCCTCTTGACGCGGGCAGGGCCCAGGCTGACGCGGGTGGACCTCTGATCTCAGGCCAGGCCCCCACGCCACTTGGGGGGAACACAGGGGCCAAGGCGGGAGCAGTCTGTCCTTGTGGCACTGTGCCCCTTCCCCGACCTCTGCCCACCTGGGCCCCCATCCTTAGGTCCTCGCCTCGGCCTGGACCCAGCGACCCAGACAGTGAGGTGGGCCTTAGCGGGCAGGAGGACAAGAACTTGGTAGAACCACAAGGGCGTATAAGGGCAAGTGTCTCAGGGAGACCATGTGAAAAAATATCCTCATTTTAGAGATCACAAGACTGAGGCCAGAGAAGAGATGGAACTGGGCCCAGAGCCCAACTCAAGCTGGGAGCTGACTAAAACTTCATTACCCAGACTTTCTCACTGAAATCCAGCGCTCTTTTTCTTTTTTAAAGAAATATTTCACATATACTTTCCCCCCAGTGTTATTTTCATTGCCTCTGAATTTTGGGTAGAGGTACAGAGAGTTGAGGCCACAGAAGTGGCAGTAGGGCCCAGGGCAGGTCCTGATGGTTCACGCAGCACTTAGAGGCAGCCCCCGTTTTCTTTCTCCGACTATCCTCCTTTTGGGGGGAACTAGAGTCTAGAGCTGGCAGGGATGGGGGGGCTCTTAATTTCACCCTATTGAATAATCGAAGTCTCTTAAGGCACAAAGAGCGTAGGTAATCTGCCCAAAGTCATTCAAGAAACCAAGGACAAATCACAGCTTCGAATCACATCTCAGAAGCTACTTCTGGCTCCCCTCTAATGACACCTCTGAAGTGGTGACATTCCAGGTCCCTTTGCCCTTGATGCCCACAGTACCAACATCTACTTTGCGGTCTGGAAGAGCGATTAAGAACGGGGGCTCTGCCATCAGACAGACTGGGATCCAGTCCAGATAACCTTCACTGCAAGAGTTCAAAAAATCTATTTGCCCATCCTGGCCTCAGTTTCCTCCTCTGGCAAACAGGAACAATGATAGCACCACATTTCGAGGTGACTGGGAAGATTAACTTGGGGGACAACATGTGAGATGTCCTTGGCCCACCATAATAAACACACTATAAGTATTATTGGGATAATTATTATTACTCCACTTTCACTGTTTGGAGAGGAGGGAAAGGGAGGAGCCCGGGCAAGGTGTGGAACTGTCTCTTTGTGTGCACTGCTTCCTGCCACAGACAGCAACAACGTCTTCCTGTAAGGCTCTGGGAGAAGGAAGGGGCAGGGAGGGAAGTGCGGGGACTTGGGGGTGGGGGTGTACAGCAGGACTTCTGATGTCCAGCCTGGGATTCTTGCATTTTACCTACTTGGCCTTCTAGGCATTGAATGTGATCTTTTCAGTCAGGATGTTGCTGTCCTGGTCATCTCCGTCAAACGTCTAATGACCAGAAAGGTCATTTCCAGTCCCAGAATCCTGGAAAATTCCATAAGACTTCTTGGAGAGGTGGTATGACAGAATAGAAACTTTAGGGGCCTCTTGAACAAGGCTTTTAACTTCTCTGAGACCTGTTTGCAAGACAAGTTGGGTGCAGGGGTCACAGGTTCCAGTCCCTGACCTACCAGCCACTGTGTGAGCATGTGCAATCTCTTTGCCTCTGTGGATCTCAATTTTTCTTCCACTAAGCAAGGATAAAAATATCCACATAATATCATTATTTAGGATAGTCTACGTTGCTTTGCTTGCCACTCCCTAAATAATGTCAAAGATGGAATTATCCAAAACCATTTGAAATGTCTGCACATATACAATATACAGCATGTGGTATTTTGAGACCCTTAACAAATCATAGCTCCCTTTGCAACCAGAGGTTAGACTCTCCTCTAAAGTGTTGATAGGCAAATCACTGCAACTATTTGTTAGTTGTATGATTCCTCATCTGTAAATTGGGGTTTAAAATATCTTTCATAATTATTTTAATAATAATAACTTGTGTTTGTTTAAAAATATTTTTAGTTGTAGATGGACACAGTACCTTTATTTTTTTGTTGTTGTTGTTTATTTATTTCCATGTGGTGCAGAGGATTGAACCCAGGGCCTCACTCGTGCTAGGCAAGTGCTCTACCTCTGAGCTACAACCCCAGCCCAATAATGCATGTTTGTTGACAATATGGCACCTATTGGACACTCTCTGTACACATTAACACAAATACTTTTCATTTATTTATTTATTTGTATATGGTGCTGAGAATCAAACCCAATGCCTCACATATGCTAGGCAAGCACTCTACCGCTGAGCCACAATCCCAGTCCCTCAAATAATTTTCTTGACAATACAATAAAAAGTTTTATTTATTATTTATTTGTGTTGTAGTATGGGAATCAAACTCAGGAGACTCATACATGCCAGGCATGCAGTCTACCACTGGGCTACATCCCTAGCCCTTTTTATTTTTTATTTTGAGACAGGATCTCACTAAATTGCCCAGGCTGGCCTTGAACTTGCAGCCCACCTGCCTCGGCCTTCTGAGTCACTGACAATGCACCACCATGACCAGCCATAGAGACATTCTTATGCCCGTTTTTCAGATGTGGAAACTGAGATACAGTGAGGTGCCAAAGTCACAAGAGTAATTGGCAGAGCTAGGCGTTCAGCAGAAGGCAGCTGATCTGGGAGCCCCACTGCTCACCACCACAGGCTCTGCCTTCCGCTGGGCTCCTTCAGGATGGAGCAAACAGGAGGCGTGTGTAAAGCAGTGCAGGGGCATCAGATGTGGGTGTACTTCTGGCCTCGCTGAGAACCAGGCCAAATACTGAGAGACAGGGTTTTAGATACAATAATTGAACAGGTTTCTGAATGTTTGCTTTCTTTGATTGTGAAAGTAACAATAAAAATACAGGAAAATTGGAAAAGAGAGAATGAATCACCCAGCCTCACTTCCCCTGCAGTGAGCACTTTAGTGTAAGAGCAGAAGAGATATTTGGACAGCACCTGGGCCTCTGCATGTTTTGAAGGACACCCTGTTGCAGAAGAATATGTAACAGCATGAGTGAAAGTTTGATCTTTGAGTGAAAAAAAGAAAAAGGCAGTCTGTTAAGTGAGATTTGCAGTAGGACAGCAGTTCTGTTTTAAAATGTGCATCCTTGGGGCTGGGGTTGTGGCTCAGTGTAGAAAACTTGCCTGGCACGTGTGAGGTACTGGATTCGATCCTCAGCACCACATAAAAAATAAATACATAAAATAAAGGTATTGTGTCCACCTACAAATAAAAAAAAATAAATGAATATTTTTTTAAAATGTGCAACCTTGGAGTTAAGCCTGATCTCTCTTCCCTGTTGCACTCTCCTTATTGAGATGGTTTTGAATAGTCTTCCTTACCTTAAAAAACAAGTGCATCAGCTGGCGCGGTGGTTCACACCTGGGAGGAGGATCACAAGTTCCAGCCTCCTCACTAAGAGGTCCTCATTCAAAATAAAAAATAAAAAGGACTAGGTTCAATTCCTTGTAGAAATAAAGAAAGGAGGAAGGGAAGGAAGGAGGGAGGGAGGGGAAAAAAGAGAAAGAAAGAAAAAAACTAAAATTATACATCTATATTTAGGTACAGAAAAAACTAGGAAAAATGCATGTCAAAATGTTTCTGTGGTTATTGATCAGTGCTTGACTTGGGTGTGAGTTTTAGCTTCTTCTTTATGCTTTTTAAAAATATTTTTCAATTTTTTAAAAATAAGAAATATGGTGGAACCTAGATGCTTTAGGAGGAATAGAAGCAGGGCTCCCACAGAGATTCACTCATTCGATAAATGCTTATTGAAGGTATTCTATCAGATGATACTGTGGAGCACCTATTATGGGCCACTAGGTGCTGAGGATAAGACAGTGCCCTGGGTGCCTGGAGCCATTCCAGGGTTAGAGGGTCCACCCCGAGTGGGCTCCCGCCCCGCACTCCCCGCTTACCAGCACATTCATGACTTCACAGAGATGGACCTGGATGCTCTCACACCACACCAAACCCAGCGCTGGGACAGACAGTACACAGATGTCTTGGTCACAGGTCCCACCTCTAAGAGCTCACAGCATTGGACACAGATGGCCACAATCTGGCATGTTCATAGCAGAGGAGGCAAGCACTAAGGAGGGAGCTGCTGCCTGGGGGATCAGGAAGGCTTCCTGGAGGAGGAGACCAACAGGCCCAGGGTGCAGTGAGCAGGAGAACATTCCCTCAGAATTCCTGAGAGTTTTCCCGCAGACCCAAATTCATGGGTCCAGTAAGTACTGCTGCTCAGGGTAAGAAACAGTGAGAGATGAGAGTTGGAGACTCAAGAAGCAAACAGAGCAGTTTGCATTAAAAAACCGTCAAATGTGCATGTCCCTTAACCCAGTTATTTCACAACAGGTGTGAAACATGTGGACAAAGACTTACTGAAGGTATGTTCATTTGAACATAAAGAAAGTAGAATATGTAAGCTAAGCCCACACCCCTGGGATTGTTGTCTGCCTAGCAACTTAGGGGGTAGGGGGAGGGCTGAGGATTGAACTCATGGCTTCATACATTCTAGGAGAACATTGAGCTATATCCCCAGACCTTTTTTTTTTTTTTTTTGAGACAAGGTCTCACTAAGTTGCTGAGACTGGTCTTCAGCTTGTGATCCTCCTGCCTCAGCCTCCTGAGTTGCTGGGATTACAAGTGTGCACCACTGCCTAGATTTCAATAAGGCCCCACCACTTATTAACTGTGTGACATTAGACAAATCACTCTCTTTTGTTTCCCAGTTTATAAAATAGTACCTAACTCATAGGTGTTAGACTTGTCCCCTGATGTGATCTGTGCCCCCCCTCCTCCCTCTCCCCTCTACTCTGCCTTCTCCTTCTCCTTATCCATAGTGATTGGGGGTGGGGGTGTTTACATAGAAAAAACATTTAGAACAATATAATGGAAAGCATTATATATATATATATATATATATTTGAAAAGAACTGGAAATAGCCTGAATGTCCAACATTCATACAATACCATAGCAATATTAAAAATCTAAGAATGTTGGGGCTGGGGATGTGGCTCAAGCGGTAGCACGCTCGCCTGGCATGTGCGGGGCGCTGGGTTCGATCCTCAGCACCACATAAAAATAAAATAAAGATGTTGTGTCCACTGAAAACTAAAAAATAAATATTAAAAAATTCTCTCTCTCTCTCTCTTTAAAAAAAATCTAAGAATGTTATAGAAGAATTTTTCAATGACTAGAGAGACACCCAGAATATTATTAAATGCAAAAGAAAATAAAGCCAATTACCAAACAATATGCCTTGACTGATATTTAAGTGGGTTTACTTTAAAAAAAAAAATGCTTGGAAGGATCTAGACAGCAAATTATTAACACCAGTGGTTATGGTTGGACAGTTCAATTGCCTGAGAGTGTTATTTCTTCTTTTTTATCAACTGCATTGTCTGATTATTTTTCTAGAATCAACATGTATTTATTTTGTAATTTAAAAGTATTCACCAATGCAGGCTGATCAGCGATTGGCTCCACCAGTTAAAAGGAAAAAAAAAAAGACTGAGTTTTATTCTATAACATTCATTTATTCACTCAATAAGTATTCAAGTTTTCAACCATAGGTCAGGCACTAAGCTCCCCCCAATCTTTTCTTTTTTCTTTTTTTTTTTTCCTGAACCTGGGGAGAGGCACTCACTCATTGAGCACTTCCTCACATCTCCCACCCTAATATTTTAGTTTGAAACAGGTGCTCAGGGCCTTGATAAATTGCTCAGACTGGCTTTGACCTTGTGATCCTCAGCCCTGGAGCTGCTGGGATTCAGGCGCTTTTCTAAGTGCTGTTCAGCAGCAGATGTACCAGGTCCCAAGCAGCATCACCCGCTGGGGACATAGCTTAGTGGCTCAGTGGTAGAGCTTGTCTAGCATGTGAGAGGCAATCTCCCCCTGCCCAAATAATCACTGGGAATAGGAGGGGGAGAAGATGTGGGGGTGAGGGAGTTATTCACCCGGGGGCTCAAACCACACCTGGGGACTGTCCCCCTTTAAGCAGCAGGGCTTCCTTCCACAGTTCCGAGTGCCAGCTTTTCCCTCCACAGTGATGTGGCTTCATATCTGCTCACAGGAGTCAGCCTTCTCTTCCAGATGACTCACTGAGAAGGAGCTTGTACCACCTGTGAAGGGACAAAGAATAAATATCTGCTGGGAGATCTGTCAGCTTGCTGGGGACTTTCACGCCACCCACTCAGTAAACCCTTCCAGCCATCATGAGTGGAGCCATGTCATCACCTCCATTGTTGCAGAGGAGGACTGGAAAGCTGCCTATGCAAGGTGACCCAGCCAGTCAGAGGACAAGCTTGGACTCGAGCCTGGCTCCTTATGACAGAGATGGCTTCACCCATCTTTGGTAGGTCCCCAGCCTCCGTCTCCTTCAATGATCAGCGTTATGGAGCCCTCTGTGCCAGGCACGCTGCTAAGGGCAGGTTGTCTTATTTCTCTTCACGCTCAAGGTGGAGGTGCAATGAAAGTATTATACTGATGAGCTCCCAGGGCTCAGAGAGGTTGTCACCCGCCCCAGGTCACACAGCCCTGCAGGAGTGAAGCTGAGCCCTGCAACCTGTCCTACTGGTTCCAGAGCTCTGCTCCTGCCCACCTACACGGTCCACCTCTCTTCTTGACCTCACTTAGCCTCCTCTGAACAACATCCTTGGGGTGAACATTAAGAAGCCTCTTGTACCAATTCAACACCAAATCCCATCACTAATTACAACTATAATGCACCAAAAATAATATGAAAAAAAAAAAAGAAATCGTCTCAACTTTTCTTTGTGTTTTCTTGCTTTTTACAACTTTGGGGGGAGTTGGTATAATTGTGAAGAGTACAGGAAAAGGGAAGATGTAGGAGGAATGTTTAACAATTTATCAAACTCTTAAGTATCGACACTTCACTCTTAGGAACAAAAATTCTGCTTCTGAACAGTGAGCCTAGAAGTTTGGTAGGTAAATAGAATGGAGAAAAGTGGCTTGGAACCAAGTTCTTGCAGGTGCAGGTAATGGAACTGGAAATATTTAACCTAGAAAGAAGTACTTTTGTTCATTCAACCAACAAATATATATAAGGCTTCACCTCTGGGCAAATGTTACGCAAGATGCCAGGGACACGGAAACGAACCAGACAGACATGGCCTCTGTCCTTGTGGAACCCAAAGTGGGTGGCTGGTCATAATCTTTGCCTGAAATCCCTGAAGGGACACCAGAAGACAAAAGAGAATGGCCTTACTCTGTGCAAGTTCACAACACCAGTTCTTCCTCCTTCAGAGTGATAAGCAGAGCCCCTCCAAGATGGGTGGGCTGCTCAAGGACGGAGTAAGCTCCCTGTCGTGAGGGGAGGGCAAGGGCACGCCCTTTGGTAAGATGTGGAAGAGCGGCTGGATGAGTGAGCTTGGGCTGCTGTCAGGGGACACCTTGCTGACTTCAACAACAGCCATGTACTTCTCCCAGTTCTGGAGGCTGGGTAGTCCAAGATCAAGGTGCTGGCTATTTCAATTCCTGGGGAAGACAAGACCCCATCCATCTTCTCACTTTGTCTTCCCATGGACTTCACATGAGTAAGCTGGGAGAACAGAGGCAAGTTCTCGCGTCTCATCTCATCAGGGCCTTCGTTCCACCATGAGGTCCCACCCTGTGACATCATCTAATTTCAGTTATCTCCCAAAAGACCCATCTCCAAATACCATCACATTGGAGGTTATGGCTTTGGGTGAACTTGGAGAGGGCAACAAACATTCGGTCCATAGAAGGCTCCTCAAGCATGAGCAGAGCAGCTGGGCTAGTGCCCTGAGACAGCCCTGAGTCTGCTTCTGTGGAAGCCAAGGACTGGGTGGACCCTGCTGCTGACGGCCAGTGTGGCTCAGGCAGCTGAACTTGAACTGGGTGAGGAGTTGGGAACCAGACAGAGCTCCTGGGCAGTTCACCCACCACTCCTTTCCACTTTAGGATGGAGAGGCCAATGTGAGCAAAATTATCCTTGGTTATACAACTCTTGGGCAGGTCACTTAACTCTCCAGAAATCTTCATCTGAAAAACACTCATAAAATTACAATGAGGATGAAATGGGGGACCAGGTGCACGACGTGCTCTCAGTGGAGGAGAGCTCTGCCCATGAACACCAGTAAGAATGACAAGCATTATAACCGGTGCCCACCATGGGAGCCAGCCAGGGTGGGGGACATATGGGAACACAGACAGGAATACGGGGCAAGAAGAGAGGAGCTGGGCATTTATGGTGTGAGGCTCTTTACCTCAGAGGGTGCTTACTTCTCACAAAGACACCTCCTGGCATAGCATTCAGGAAGAGCTTCTTAGTAGAAGGGACATTTTAAGCTGAACATGGAAGAAAGCTGAAGAAGTTGAGGGATCTGGGGTAAGGTTGCTGGGAACAATAGAAGAAAAGAATACGCTGTTGGGCTAATTGGATAAGGAAAATGGCTCAGGGCATCACATAAATATATTCACTCATTCACCCATTCAGTCATTCACCTCCCACAGGCCTGTCTTGAATGCCACGCATGGTCATAACTGGCCTAAAATTGTAACTGCACCATCTGAACACACCCTCTACTCTTCTGACCTGCACACTGCCCAAGTCTCACTCCAAGTGCTCTTTGATGGCTCTTCTCATGTATTGCCCCTCTTCTTTCTCTGGTGAGCTTTGCCTTGGACACTGCCCAGTAACTAACCCTGTCCCCCACCTGCACTCCTCTGCCCTCAACCTCACTGGCCACTTCACTTTCTCCATGACAGAAATAGGACACCATCTGGTATCTGCTCCCACTCATACACGCAAAGGCACGCATACATGTGCACACACACGTGTACATGCACATAGGTACACACACAGCCCTGTGTGCACCCTCCTCTCTTCCCCTTCTGAGCCACAGCTCTCATCTAGAGCCAACTCTCCACCTGCATTTTAGCATCCTCCCTACTCACTTTCTTGGGAACCTTGTATTTCTTTCTTTCTTTTTTTTGGTGCTGAGGATTGAACCCAGGGCCTTGTGCATGCAAGGCAAGCACTCTACCAACTGAGCTATATCCCCAGCCCCTCTTGTATTTCTTATTATCCTTTCTTTCTTTTGGATTTTCTATGCCTAATCCTTTTTTAATACCTTTATTTTATTTATTTATTTTTATGTGGTGCTGAGGTTCGAACCCAGGACCTTGTACATGCTAAGCAAGCGCTCTACTGCTGAGCCTCAACCCCAGCCATCTATGTCTAATCCTCAATCACATCCTTCCTCTTAGCCTATATATATGGTCAAATCACCTTGTTAATCAAACACAAAGTCCAACTCCCTCCACTTCCCATCCCCTCCAGCCACTGCTCTGTTCTCACTCCACGGCCATCTCCTGCAGGGACGCCTGTACTGCCTCTGTGTCCTCTCTCACTCACATTTTCTGAGAGCTTTAGTGAGGCACACTGATGTACGACCCACCGCATGTATTTGAAGTATGTCATTGGATGAGTTTTATCATATGCAAACACCTGGGAAACCATCACCACCATTAAGATAGTGAATAGGTCCTTCACCCCCACAAGTGTGCTTGTGCTCTGTCACATTCTTAATAAAGTTACCAGTGAGCTGCATCTCACCAAACTACCACTTCTGGTAATTGCCTTTTAGGTGTCTCAGAAATATCTCACATTCAATCTGTCTAAAACCAGTCTCATGGGCTTATCCCCCCAACATACTTCTGTTTCAGGAACTCCCAGAAACTGGGGGGTTTTGGTTTTTATTTTGTTTTGTTTTTCTGATGATTATCCAGATGTGCTTTACCACTGAGCAACATCCCCAGCCTCTTTTATTTATTTATTTTTTTTTAATTTTGAGACAGGATCTCAAATAAGTTCCTTAGGGCCTCACTAAGTTACTGATGCTGGCCTCAAACTTGCCATCCTCCTGCCTCAGCCTCCCCAGTCGTTGGGATTACAGGTGTGCACCGCTGCTCCTGGCCCAGAACGGTTCCTGATACACTTCTGCAATGCCATCTACTTCACCTCCCCAGTTACCCCATCTGCTCTCCATCTCTGCTCCATCCCTACTACCTCAGCCCCATTGCTCACCAGGCACAGAGCAATGGTCTGGTAACATCCAGCTGTGTCATGCTGACACACATACTTCATCTCAAGCTGCAGCCAGAAGAATCTGCTTTGAAAGCAAGTATGATCATGTAATCCCTACTCCCACTTAAAATCTGACAGAGTCTCAGATCTATAGCATGACCTGCAAGGTCTGCAAGATCTGGCTTCTCCTCTCCTCTCCAGCCTCCTCTTTCGGGTATCCTCTCAATCCCCCAGGTCTCACCACACTGGCCTCTTCTTAGTCCCTTTTACTAACTCAGGTCCCTCCATCAAAGTATTTTGCACATGTTGTTCCTTATCCAGAATGTTCTTCCCACACAAGCCTCAGATATTAGCTCAATTATCACTTCCTCAGGGATGCCCCCTCTGGACATCCCTCAACTGGTCAAATTATCCTGTCTCATCTTCACTTAGCATTTTGTGTATCTCATTTTGTACTATGCATCATAGTTATGTATTGATATGCCTTAGAATTCATTCCCCTTACTAAATTCTTAGGGAAAGGACAGAGTCTGTCTTTGCTCACCATAATATTAGTCATACCTATGTGTGAAGTTGGTGCATCTACTGTGGGCCATGTTCTTCAGTACATCTGGTTGCTTTTATTTCTCATAACTGATTTTTCCAGGTGGGTATTTTGCATCTTATAGATGAAGATTATCTAAGCTCACTTCTGACCCAGAGCAATAATTTGGCCATCGATGGCCTGAGACCTCTGAAATCACAAGACAAAACAAACGATTCCTCCTCTAAAATTGGTCTCGTCAGGTCTTTTGGTCACAGCAGTGGGAAAGCCGACTAAAACACAGGGTATTGGGGCTGTTTTCACTGCCCTAGGCACAATAGAACAAGCAAGTTAGAGCACAGCCAGGACGCTATGGGACGGCTAACCCCCCAGCGAAGGGCTGAACTGACTTCTGAGCCTCTTTTTAGTTCACACTTGCTACCCTGAGTCATCTTGGCTTTGAGAAATGCTCGTGCCTGGAACTGCTCTGTTGACCCATGACCCTGGCATCAGGGAGCATCCAACCCAGGGAGAAGCAAGGGTAGAAACCATGCCGTATCCCTGCGGCCAACTCAAGGATGTTCAGCATCACTACAGGAGGTGGCAGCCTGTCCTAGAGCTGACCTTCTACCAGAGAGCTTTAAAATAATCCATCTGACTTCAGCGTGGTTCTTCAGAAGTGGCCTATGTCAGCCATCATCTTCCTTCTGGGGCACTGTGGAACGTCAGTCAGGTGGTGGGCCCTGGATGAGAATGCCAGATGCCCATGGGCTCTGGGCAGAATCAGCCAGTATTCAACTGGAACAGAACCAAGAGCCCTTGGGCCCTGGAGCTGCTTGGGCCTGAGCCTTCTTGCCTGTCTCTCTCAGAGGCAGGAGCAGTACATCAGCTGCAGTGGCTTGTGCTAAGGATGAGGTTCCTAGCAAGCCTTCTCTTGGCTGGCCAAGTGACAGAACTGCCATCTGATTGGTGGGATGGTCACTGCCTCCCTGGTCCTCCCTGCACAGGACCCACTAGAGCCACCGTAGTTTCTTTTGCATGCCTAAGGTTGGTGTGTTTGTTCTAGATATAACCGAACAGAACAGTATTTCTCCCATTTTTTATGACTCACCTCAGATCCACTTGGATGTGATGACATTGCCAATTACTGTAACGTGTTTCTAAAAAGTTACTCAGAATTTTGGTAGTCAATTCACTGTGGGCTAGTTCCAAAGAGTTTGCAGATCAACATGGTCCATGGACCATACCTTTGAGTGGCAATGGATTAGAAAAATCACCGTGGGCTAAAATTTGGGGTTTGAGTAGAGAGACCCAAGTTGGGAAAGACCCTATATGCTTCCCTGAATGAACACCTACTGGCTATATAACCTTTGGTAAGGCACTTCTGTTTGATGAGCCTCAGTTCCTGTGTATGGAAAATGGATGCCTACTGTTTCTTCCTGCCCAGTATCTGAATGAACAAAGATAGCCTCTTTCTGTTTAGGTTTGAGTGGGCTGACTTCTTCCCTTGGCTTCAGAATTGAGTATTTAACCTAAGCCTGGCCATTTAGCAAGTTCAATTCCCCTGACCATGTGACTGGCCCAGAGATGGCACTGCCCAAGCTGACCCACTGAGAGTCAAGGCTTAGATCCCTGGCTGGATGTGCTGGAGACAGAATCTCCCTTCCTGCTGGGACTGCTGAGCACAAGGATCAGATTTCTAAAACCAATGCCAATATAGAGAAGCTGAGATCAAAGGTGGAGACACGGTGTTTGGGTGTCTACATGCAGATGAGCATGGAGCTGGACTGACCGGAGGAGCTTCCAGTTGGGTGCTACACACCTATCTTTTCTTAAGTCAGTTTGAGTTTAATTCTGACACTTGCACCCAAAAGAGTTTTAACACACCCATGATGCAATGAGGTCATACAAGAAAAGGGCTCATCATGGGGACTGACACAGATTAAAATCCCCATATATGGACACTCTCATTATCCTCCGCATCAAGAATTCACGGAGTGCACATTCCATGCTGTGTACTGGGGGTATGGAAAGAAATCAGATAAAATCTCTGTCCTCAAGAAGTTTCCAATCTATGACGGACAGGAATCAAAGAGACCAAATTCCTGTAATAACCAGGGAAAAGAATCATCGGGGTCAGCAGAGCAGGACAAACCAAGGGCCATGAGAGTGCAGGAAGGGAGAGGCCAGGCCTACGAGGCACATGGAGCTTCTCCCACCCCTCCTTCTCCTGATCACAGACTCATCAGAGTCTGTCAGTTCTCCCCTTTGGCCTCCCTGCTGATACACATCCAGCATGAGTAAAGTCAGAGAATACAACTGAGGTCAAGAGGCAGGGACCAGCCAAAGGGCTTTGGAAAAGCAACTTCATGACTTGGACCTCAGTCTCCCCTTCTGTGCAGTGAGGATGCCGTCTGTGTCTGACCCTCAAAGTTCTCCTAAGGATTCTTCTGCACAGTAATGAGCCAACATGATTTAGAAGTGCCAAGTGCTGGGCATTTACCCAGGCCTTTTTGCTGGCATTTTACTGATTTTCCCAAGGTCACATCAAAAAGAAAAGACTTTGTCAAAAAATCGGATGTCCACTTACCAGTTGCATGACACTCTTGCCCCTGGATCAGCCTCCCTGAGTTCTTACTTCCCCACTTATAAAGTGGGGATCATAATAATACCTACTAGCCCTATGTAGCTGTAAGAGAGGTGATAATGTAGATAAAGTACATAGCACATAGTAAGTACTTTAAAAGTAGGCTTGATTATTGCTGACTAGTGCTCTGAAATAGTCTCTTGGTCTGTCCAGTACATAGAACGCCTCACTGGCTTTACCCTTTGAAGGTTTCCTAAACAAGGTATGTCTTGGAGATGTTAAAATGCCTGCCAGAGATGCTCCATCCTCTTGGTATCCTTACTTTCCCTCACCCACCTCCCTGCACAGATCCTAGCAGTTGACAAATCTTGTCCATTCAAACCCTGCAACAGGCTTTCACCAAGTTACACCTACTGTCCATCTTCCCCACCCCGTGGTAAAACCTCCACCCCACATCCCCGCTATCCCATCTCATTACCTCTTCCTTAAGCAAATTCTGGTAGGAGATTTCCATTGCCAAAAAATAAATGACAAATTTCTAGTTGGGACTGCTGGGCTCCCAGGAACCCTTCTCAACTTTCCTTTTTCTAACAAGTGCTATTGGTGCCCTACCCAACACCCCTTAGTTCTTCCCCAAAGTCTCCTACAACTTGGGTGCACTCCGATGGTTTCCTGGCTCAAGTGCTCACACCTCTCTGTACCAAGACTTTCTCTGGCTGAAGGAGCTGGCTTGCCCATCTGGGCAGGGTTGGATAGCCAGGGAGTTAGTGCCCCTGAGAGAATCCTCAACCACTGCAGAACCTACAAGAGTCAGTGGGTAGGTACTCCAACTTGATTGCCTCTCTGGAACACAATTCTGAAATGTGTTCCATATTGTGTCTAAGGGGGTCCCCAGTGGGCTGAGCTCCAGTTGCCCAGGGGACAACTCCTTTCCTGTGCTTCCTGGGAACATTCTCTCAAAGGAAGTATTTGTACCTAAATCCTTGATTCGGCATCTGCTTCACATGTTACCTAAATTAGAACACTTTTAAAGCTCAATTCCCGTCTCACCATTTTATGCACACTTAACGACGGCCATCTTAAAACTACATGCCCCATACTTTCATCCTTCGTCTTTGTTCTTTCTGTGTCTTTCACCTAAAATACTTTTCTACTTCACATCTCTCATCTCCTATTTTCCAAGAATCAGCCCCAACCCCATGATACGTACAAAGAGTT